TAAAATTGTATAGTTTAAGCTGTTACAACAACAACATTTCCAAGAATATCTATTAACGGACAGGCAATTTTATTTGTATAATCTCTCAGATGCCTCGGTGTAATTATAGATTCTAAGTTAAATTTTAACGAACATATCAATTTAATTGCTAATAAAACTTGTCTTATTTTAAGAAGACTTTACTCGTTAAGAGCGTTTACTCCCAAACATGTAAGGAGCCGACTTGCCTTTTCACTTATCATGTCCCGAATAAACTATTGTCTCGAAGTTTTTTCAGCAACGTGGTCTTATAATCTTAATATTATTGAAGCAACTGTTCGAAAGGTAATTCGTTATTTATTTAATTTAAGAGCTCTAGAGCATGATCGTACTTCGATGCTCACTCCAGTATTCTTGAAATGTAGTTTCAATAATTATATTAATCTACGTATTTTACTTTATTTCTACAAGGTTATAAATTCCGGTAAACCAATATCACTTGTAAATCAATTTTCATTCATAAACTCAACACGAAATATTCAAATTTTTATTCCTCTGGGACATCTTTCTGTGTTTGATCGATCTTTTGTAAAAAGAATCCATCATACTTGGAGCTTACTACCTAACCATCTCAAACAATTTTCTTATTCTTCTCATACTTATAAGAAGAAACTCTTAGATTTTATGTAATGAAAATCAGTAACATGATTAGATATTGTTTTTAATCTACATCAACCTTTGGTTATAGGATTATTATTATTATTATTATTTGTTGATATTTCATTTTTGACAATACACGGGCTTGTACAATAAATTTTTCCTCTATATATATATATATCGCACACCTAGTACAAAAGTGACACAACTCAAAATTTTATTTTTGCGTTTTTATATTCTTTAAGCCTTAAGTTTAAGCCTTAAACTATACACAAGATACTTGTTTAACTCTACAAAAATATTAGTGTATTTTGTTGTTGTTAACTGTTTAAGAAAAAACGTTATGTCTTTCTTTATCTTTCAGAATTTGTAAAAAATTTGTTTCCTTTTCTTTAAAAAAATTTTTTTGAGTTGTGTCACTTTTGTACTGGGTGTGCGATATATATATATATATATATACTATTTTTTCTGAAAAGTTGATGTAAAGATTAAAGCTTGCAACCATTTCCGAAACAGCGAAGTTTTCAGGCGTAAATGAGGAATTTTCGGCCATTTCGACGAAGACTTGTAATTTGATAAATTCGGCATCTGTTTTGCCAAGCATTTCGGGAAATCTGCCTTGGGTTTCGGTTAATGCCGACAAATTGCCAAATTTTTATTTGGCAGATTCGAATCCCTTCGGGAGCAAATCCGTTTAATTATTATTAGGAGCTGATGTATAACCCCAGCTTATTTTACCCGGAATTAGGATAAAAGTACTCGGATCATTATTGGCTCAAAAAACCGTATTTGGCTGGATATTAACCGGTCCTGTAAATAGTATTAATTCATCTCCTACGAAGGAAAGATATAGGCCAACTAAAAATAGCTACATTCCAACATGGAATCGTAATGAACCCAAATGATGTAGGAACTAGTTAGTTTATCAATCTGTAGTAGAAAAGCATTAATTTTCTTTTCGTCTACGACAAGGCACTACGTGCAAACACGTACTGTAACCTTTTACGAGGTAAAATTCAAATATAGATAATTCGAGATTTAGGTCTATCCCTAACGCTGTATTAATGGAATCGTAAAAGATGGAAAGAAGAATATTTAGGTAATTTTCGCTAATGATCGCTTTGTATGCCTCATGTTCGTATCTTTTAAACATGTATTGTGTATCGGTCAATAGACAGACTTTTTGTTTTGAAAAGTAAATTTATATATTAAAAAAGTAAATTTATATATTATATCAATTTACTTTACTAACCTTTCCCTAAATTCTTTTAATTCAGCAAGCGTCCTTAGTGATTCAACCAGAGTCTCATCATGGCTCAACAAGAGTGTCTTAATGGCTCAACCAGTCTCTTAATGGCTCAGCCAGAGTCTCATCATGGCTCAAACGGGTCCATAATGACCCAAGAATAAAAAACTGGAGTCTTATCATGGCTCATTTTAATTTGGAAAAACAGACCTTAAGACTCATCATTTATTTAGTTACAACATCTTAAGGGCCAATCTTTAGGTGAAAGATTAGCGATTAAATTAAAATTAGTCCTCGAAAGATGTTTTTGAGTACTCAATTAGTTAATTTTGTTTGCAAGTTTAAGCGCCCAATGGAGGTGGTTTAATCTTAAGCACAAAATGCAAAAGTGTAAACAGCTGATGCAAAAAAAATTAACAAAATTTTTATAAATATAAACATTAAGGGCCAATCTTTAGGTGAAAGATTAGCGATTAAATTATAATTAATCCTCGAAATATGTTTTTGAGTACTCAATTAGTTAATTTTGTTTTCAAGTTTAAGCGCCCAATGGAGGTGGTTTAATCTTAACCACGAAATGCAAAAGTGTAAACAGCGGATGCAAAAAAATTAATAAAATTTTTATAAATATAAACATTAAAATGTTCTATTTATTGATTAGTATAAATTATGGACACTTCAAAATACATTTTTTTTGGTTTTAATTTAAGTTTTCATAAATTTTCATATTAAATTTACAATTGCCTTCTTCTTTTTTATAAAATATGCATTGTTTTGATAACAAACAGTGAAGTTTTCTGTTGTTTTGTATGGCAACACTGCGAAGTTTAATCTTGTACTCAAAAACATCAAAGGGGATTAACATAAGGTTAAATTTATTTTTAGATTAACTAATCTGATTATTAATTGGCATTTGATTACCATCTCAAAAACCCGCTCTAAAATGTTCTATTTATTGGTTAGTATAAATTATGGACACTTCAAAATACATTTTTTTGTTTTTAATTTAAGTTTTCATTAATTTTCATATTAAATTTACAATTGTCTTCTTCTTTTTTATAAAATATGCATTGTTTTGATAACAAACAGTGAAGTTTTCTGTTGTTTTGTATGGCAACACTATGAAGTTTAATCTTGTACTCAAAAACATCAAAGGGGATTAACATAAGATTTTTAGATTAACTAATCTGATTATTAATTGGCATTTGATTACCATCTTAAAAACCCGCTCTAAGTGTTGCAAGGGGGCCGGCAATGTTTAAGTACAAATCGATTATTTGCGGTATTTTTCATCTAAGTGTAAATCCTAATGATTTACTACTTTAGTTTACATCTTTGATGGAAAACTATTATTAATTCAACGAGTAAACTGCCAACTGTATTTAAACATTTTTTCTATTCGAGTTGTAATGTAATTCAAGCCTTGAATTAAACTGTAATAACATTATAATGTTCGAATTGAATTCAAGTTTCCTTTTCACTGGAGAATGCTATTAAATAAGATAATCCATTAAAAATATCATTTGACCCTTGGGGCACACCATGGGAAATAGGAATTCTACAAGAATTCTTGTCCAACTTGGACAAACTGACTACGATCTTTCAGAATAGAGTAAATGAGTTTAATATGTCATAGAATAATCGCTCGGTATCTGAAAATCACTTAATACAAATATTTCTGGACCTAATCAAAATTAGTTACATACATGCATAAATAAGTTGCATTGCATTCTACGTAGAATTTATTCGATGAGAATCTTTCTGCCCGTTGAAATCAAGAGGAGGTTAGCGCACTCATTAAAGATGCCTCATATTTTGTATGGCTTGGAAGCTTTTTCTGGTGCTGCTGCTAGTAATTTGAAAATATTAGAGCGGACTGTAAATGTTACTGTCAGATTTGTCTTCAATGTGCAAAGTCGTGAATTTGTTAAGAGTTTTTTGGGTTGCTACTTTAACCAGTTTGTAAGTTTTCGTAACTTAGTTTTCTTCTATCGTATTGTTAAAAGTGGTATACCAAATCATCTGTGCATAAAGTTTATTTTTTCTCGATCTACTAGAAAGAAACAAATACTAATAGTCTTTCGTTGTAAGAGTTGCCAGGTCTTGGAACTATATTCCGCATGAGTTACGTATATTTTGCCATAGCAATAATGTATTTCGCCTCAAGCTTCTGAGATCTTTTCATTGATTTCCATTATTTTGCAATTGAAATTAAGTCTTATCATATCCGGACGATTGTCTCTATTTAATTGCAATTAGATTTTATAAAATTCGGTAATAAATGGCTGGGGAGCCCTTAAATGATTATGATATTATTAGTAATTTTAAATATTCTTATACTGTTTATTTGTATTCACTCAGAATATTTGATACTTTGTAATACGTAGAAGGAAATAAATAAATAAAATAAATAAATAAGTGATAAATAGTATCTTAATTAAGGAAACAAGACATATGCCGGGTTTACAGTCTCCATAAGTAAAATAAAGTACTTTAGTGCTAAAGTACATACTTAAGTAAAATTTCTTTCCTTAGTATGTATACACTATAAATCAGGCCCTAAAACTTTAACAATTTAGAAAATATGTATATTGGGTTTAATAAAAAGAAGCTTGCAGGTGGAGGATATGCTATGAGGAGAATATGCTATGGAGGATATGCTATGAGGAGAATGCATTCTAACTTGTTTTAAAGTAGCTATAGTTTTGAAAACGTATCGCTACAAAGCAAGACAAATACTACTGCTACAACTTCAGTCAATTGTTTGGAGCAATAGTTTAAACAATAACAGACTTTGTAGGATACTAATTTTTATTCTATTCTTTGAAGAAAACATGCTAACTTAGAACAAATATATATTTTTTTTGTCGACCAAAGGATATCTTAAAGAAAGTGCTGAAATGTACAAAATATTAAAAAATTTTCATAAGTAGGAATTATTGAGTTTGTTAAAAAGGTATTATGGAACAAAACTTTGACTTTTGTGCACTAAATAGTATTTTTGCTCTCTTGAAAACTAGACTTTATTGATTTAACACTTTTTGAATATAGGGTATCGAAATGTACATTAAACAAAAATTCAACAAAATTATATACAATATATAAAATGTATTCATACAGATTCAATATTAGATGTAGATTCACTGTCACTAGAATCCAACTCCATTAACGCGTTCTTTCTCCTTTTACCCATATTTTTTATATCGCACAAAATTAAACACAATGCTTTAAGAAACTTGTTAGTACTTCAACATCTAAAAAATTGACTTGAAGAAACTAGTTACAGAGCCCTGCGCCGACAAATATTAACGTCGGCGGCGGCTGACACTAAAAATATCGGCAGCGGCTTAAAATCGGCTGTAATGCAGGGCTGTCAGATGTAACGATTTCTCGCCAAACGTGGAGATTTAAAAGTGTATCCCCCATTTTCTCATTGTCGACAGTTTTTAAGATCCAAACACATACAATACTTTGCGCCGAACTGGGACTGACAGCTACGCAACAAAAAAAAAGGTGATACCCAATCGATGCGTTGCCGAAGTATGAGAAACATATGATTGTTTTTTTTGTTTTGTTTATTGTTCTTGAGCGCGAATATAAAGTCAGTTTACTAGTTTTTTTACAGACATATGTATATAATAAAAACGGTTTTTTTTAAATGGAACTTACGGATTTGCTAGATATAATTTTGTTAATTTTAATGCTTAACGAAGCTTGGTATTATGTGGATACAATATCAAGTGGATGTCGAAGATTTTGGGTAAGACCATTGTACCAAAATCGCAACACAAATGGATATTTTGTTGTAAATTTTGAGGAAATGTTTAATAATGATCCGGAACAGTTAAAAAAGACAATTAGAATCTATAATATACAAGCTCACGGAGGCAGCAGACAAATTTTTTCATCAGCTTTTAAAATGGGAATAACAACAATAACTAAAATTGTAAGAGAGACTTGCGATGTACTTTGGAACGATTTGGGTTTTGTTTATATTTCACCTCCCAATCGATATGAATGGGTACGAATTTCAAAGGATTTTTATAGTATGTGGAACTTTCCCAATTGCGTTGGTGCTATAGACGGCAAATATATCACCATAACTTGTCCTAATAACTATACGTTTACACATATTGATATTGGTGCATATGGTTCCCAAAGCGATGGTGGTGTTTTGTTGAATTCGGAACTAGGGACCCGTTTGTATAATGGACAATTGGATATCCCAGAAGATTTTCCGCTACCTGGAACTGATTTGAACTTCCCATATTACATTATTGGTGACGCAGCATTTCCCCTGAAGAAATGTCTAATGCGTCCATATCCAGGTTTGTTAAACATTATTTTTGTTATAAATATACCAAACATATTTTTTAGGAAGTCATCTACCAAGGGAGCGAGAAATATTTAATAAGCGCTTATCTAGAGCACGACGTGTTATTGAAAATGCTTTTGGTATTTTATGTGCTCGTTGGAGAATATTGCTTTCTCCAATAAAGGAGTCCTAATAATGCAGAAAAAATGGTCAAAGCCACAGTTTTACTCCATAACTTTTTAAAAATGCATGATTGTAGCTATTGCCCTCCAGCTTTTGCTGATCAATATGAAGGAGACAATATCGTAAATGGACTATGGCATCAGGAGGTTCCAAATCCACTACAAAGTCATCGTCGAATGTCCTCTAATAATGCATCTAGAGATGCGTTTCATTTAAGGGATTACTTAATGCGTTATGTAAATTCCCATCCAATTTAAAATAAGCTTATATCCCATTTACACATACACGAAATCTAGTACTTATGAGATTTCGAGCCAAATCTAGTTGATTTTAACTAGATTTCCCATACAAAACAAAATCTACTTCGTAACTAGATTTCGATAAAATCTACTCAAAATCTAATAATTTTTAGTGATGCAACTCTGTTTTTTTCCTAAATAATACTAAACGCTACATAAGAAAAACGAGAAAAACAAAACAAACAAAAAAATTAAAATGTCAACAAAATTTTAATAAATTGAAAAACATGAATGAAAAGTTTATTCAAAATAGAAGGTAATGTTATATTTAAATATCTAATTTTTTATTATAAATGAATTGTTAATAAATATTCCATTTTTCCTTCTTATTTTTCATATCACACATAATCTCAAGAAATACTAGAAAAAATTAAATCTTCATAAATGCCAAAAATGGTAAGTGTAAACGGTCTAGATTTTTAAAAAGATTTTAAATGAAATCTACTAGATTTCGTGTATGTGTAAATGGGGTATTAGTTTTTAGTTTAATAATACAAATTAAAAAAGTATTTTTTTATTTTAAAAATACTTAAAAATTATTTTTGTTAAAGTAAATTACAAAATCATTTTATTTGAAAGTAATGTAAGTTTTATTTGTTTTACAAGTTTTAAAATAAATACAAATTTTTAAATAATTAACAATACAATGAGATCATTTCTTATTTCATAAATAGGACCAGCTACTTCCCTCTCCTGCCGCTGCACCAGATTTGCTCTTTTCTGAATTCACTTCCCTTACGTAGCGATCGCGAAGTGACCGCCAACTTTGCTGACAGTGGTCAACTAAAAAAGGAGTTTTTAGATTGCAAACACTAAACCAAAAACATACTGCTATGTTTACCGGACCATCCAACTGATGTTGCTACAGAACTCCAAGCCTTTTCTTTGGCTAATTTGTTTCTAAAAATTTGGGCACTTTTGTCGAACAGGCAAGGAAACATTTGAATAGCTTCAATTAATTTGAATTCCATTTTATTTATAATAATTTATTTATTCAAATAGTACAAAAATATAAAATGACTTAATATAAAAAATATTTAAGCAACAATTTTAAAATGATGTATTTCCCACTAAAAATCACAATTAAACAAAATGAAAAACAATTATTTTGACAGTTTGTTTTTGTTTTCATTTTCTCTTTCTCTTCATTTTCGTACTCCAAAGTTGAATTTTTCTCAACTTTTTCTACTTCGTGCACAAGTTTGGCGCATTGATTGAGACCGCTCTCATTTAAATACATACAATAAACACGAGCTGTCAGTCGCAGTTCGACGCAAAGTATTGTATGTGTTTGGACCTTTATACAAAAATTATTTAAACTGGCAGAATGTCTACTGGTTAAGCGATAACCGGAGGTTGAGAGAAGGTGCCTATGTATTTTAGTGAGACAAAATAAACGAAAATCGAAATACCTGTGAAGTGATACTATTTTTCTGAAAGGTGGATCCGAGTAGAACAAGAATCTGTTTTTGAAATTTCCCAAACACTTCAAAAATCTTGAGATATGGCTAAAAACCCGGTTTATCATATCTTTAGCACTTAGAAGTCAGTAACTTAGTTGAATCTCAAACGATTTCAAGTTTCTCAATGGATTTAGAATGCAAAAGCTGAGTCCTTTATAATGACATAAATGATGTTTAAGTAACCTAGAAAAATATGTGTGCATTTCATTGGAAAACATGTTTTTTAATTTAGTTTTGCACCGTTTTTAAAGTAGGGAGATGTTTTTTTAAAGTATTTTATATAGGAACCGTACTATTTATTAATGTATTAGAAAACTATGTCTGTTCATGAGAAAAACGTAACTCTGGTTTTTAAAATCAGTTAACATTATTTTAGTTTTGCACCGTTGTCCAAGTTTGGAGATGCTTTTTGAAAGTATTTTATATAGGACCCGTATTATTAATTAATTGATTAGAAAATCATGTCTATTTATGAGAAAAAATCTACTTTGGTTTTAAAATTCCGTTAGCAATTGACGACGTTATTGATCTTTTTCTTAACACAAAATTGTTAAAAAACTGATTTTCTAAAGGATGCTTTATATCGGGACAGGGTTAAATATGGGCCGATCCTCGAAAAATTTGGTGGAAGGATTTGTGTTTATATAGAAGTTATTTATGCTGAATTTCCCCCATACAAATCCTCCTTCAAAAATTACTTTAATTCCATAATTATCTTATTATATTAATATCACGATGTAATTCAGCATAAATACGTTTTAAATAAATATAAATAGTTCCACCAAATTTAATGAGGATCGGACTCTATTTAACTTTATCCCCCATATAAAGCATCTTTCAGAAAATCAGTTTATGAACAATTTTGTATTAAGAAAAATATCAATAACGTCGTCAATTGGTAATGGATTTTTAAAAACAAAGTTGCGTTTTACTCATAAGTAAATAAATAGTACGGTTCCTATATAAAACACTTTGAAAAAATCTCCAAAATTTAAAAAACGGAGCAAACCGGTTTTTACCCGTATATCACGATTTTGGAGGATCCATCTTTCAGAAAAATAGTATCACTTCCCAGGTATTTATTTTTATCAAATTGTGTTATCGCAATTGGTTTGGAAAACAATAAACTAATTTATGGTTCTCATGAAATCCAATGTCATCATTTTTTTAGTCGATAAAAATTTTAATTTTATTTCGAATATAAGACCAATGTATTTTGTTGTTTTTAAAATCACTCCCGACATTGATTAGGTTCTATCATAACTCAGATTCTGTACCCCGTTTCTGTAACTTTTAGTGAGAAGTTCTCACATTGAGAAGTGTGAAACAAAAAATTCCATCGTTTCTCGATTTGTGAATAAAAAGTGTTTCTGTAACTTAATGTGAGAACAGGCTACACGAATTACGTTTTTATTGGAAATTTCCAATAAAACAGCTGTCAAAAATATAAAAATTAAAAGAAGAAAACAAAAATTGCCGAACAAATTTATAAACGAAGAATAAATAAACAAAAAATATAGAAATTATATGAAAATTGTTCGAAAAATTATCCCACTAAATTCATCTTTCGCAAATTCTAAGTTTACGCCCACGTACTTTTTTAACATTTGCTTCTGTATATCCGAAATTCCTGCTATTTTCTAAAAATTAGTTAACAATATTTATTTTAATCTTAATTAATTATAAATATAACATTACTTTTTCATTATTTCATAGAATTCATGTTTAAATGTGAGAAACTTCTCACAAAATTTTCTCACAGAAACACTTTTACTCACGAATTTCCAATAACTCCCAGTGGTAAATGAAACAAAGTACTTAGATAATATTCGATGACATCAGTACCCCGTTTCTGTAACTTTGAGTTAGAAGTTCTCACATCGAGAAGTGTGAAACAAAAAATTCCATCGTTTCTCGATTTGTGAGTAAAAAGTGTTTCTGTAACTTAAAGTGAGAAGAGGCTGCACGAATTACGTTTTTATTGGAAATTTCCAATAAAACAGCTGTCAAAAACATAAAAATTAAAAGAAGAAAACAAAAATTGCCGAA